TGTGGTTCAAGAAAAAAAAGCAAAGATTAACCGGACGCTTGTAATAGTTACTAACCAGACCGACACCTCACACCCACTGATGTGACTGCAACAGAGGTCTCACTAAAAAAGAGGTCATTGAAACACCACAGACATGGCCAAACATAACACTGGATTCTGGTAACTACTTGGCACAGCTGACACATAATACGCATATAAAATTGCCCATTTAAAGCACTATCCGTCTTCATTTTTTTTCTTAAAAAATATGAAAGGGAACAGTCTTTCTGAAATGACATGCTATTTTTAAGCAGAGCATAAACCAAAGCTTAAAACATTAACCCATGTGAACAACCTTTTTTATTAATCTAGTTAACAAATCAGTTCTGTTTGTACTGTAAATAAAGGGACGATGCCAACACACCCCGAACCAGCTGATGGTGGATATTTTTTTCCAGTGGAGTACACATATATCTTGGCTTATCATTATTGACTATACAAATGGAAGTAAGGTCCACATAGTATGGTCAAAAACCTGTGAAAAGTTTCACACTTCATTCCCATGTCAGGAGAGGTCAGGAGATTCCCCATCAGAAGTCTGTATACAGAAACTTTAGCAAAGGCAAAAAGGTTTCACCAATATATTATATTTGTGGATTAGTAAAGACTATTTCTTAAAGACTCACCCTGTATTTGAATTTTGTAAGGCATCATGGAAATGGCAATGAACTTCAATGCCAGAAAGAAATCCGATGCTTTGAAGAAGGAACACTTTTAATCCCAAAGCAGCGCTCCAAAAAAACAAGCACTGACTACTCAGTCAAGGCTTTAAAGGTCTGCATATTACAAATTGACCCTAAACATTACCAGGAAGTTAAAGATATCCCCAGTGATGACTAGTTCATCTTGCCAGGAAAATTGTGCAGGATACGCCCTGTCATCTCTGAATATGACCTGAATAAAACTGATCTTAATTGCATCTGTTTCTTCCTCATTAAGGAACCATATGGTTTCCAACTGCTCTTCTCATCAATATAAGACGTGCATCTTTTTTTCCTAAATGAAATCCCTGACGATCATGGATGTCGGCTGCGCAGAGCTGAGAAAGCGAAGAACAGATTATAACGTGACTTCTCCCCTTCCCAGAGGGCTGGAAGCTGCATTCAATATGCAGCAATGTCAATACTACCAAGACTTATTGGATGTCCCTTTCTTTGTGTGGTATATGAGCCTCACTGTATCGCCAAAGTTGGTCGACTCTCGACACTCTATTCCTACAAAAGACTGTTGGAGTGGGATGAGGGGTGAATGCAACGTGTGCAGTGCTGAAAAAGACCCTTAGCTAAGAGGGGACTCCCTCAAGGGCTGGCCCAGGGCATGCTCACAGGGAATTTAGGAAAACTCACTATAATGCCTTATGCAAAGCTGTAACCTTGTAGACTGCTCTGAAGCTTTGGGATTTTATTGGGTTATAAGAGCCTTGACAAAGATCAACTTCACACGGGTTAATCCTGGTGAAAAATTACATATTTAGGATCAAACAAGTCTGAACTTAAATTGATATTTTGCCTTTGCATTGTGATCCTGGAATATCACATTGAGAGAGTCTGATCTCAGCTTAATCTCTTATTGAAAACCGCAAAAAACAGTTAAATGTGTAGGATTTCTTTTCTTTATTCCTATTGCGTTTTCCTCATGTTCCTGCTGCTTCTCCAAATTAAACCACAGCATGTTAAAAAAACAGAGTTCTAAAAAAGAGCACTCTCCTATGACCTGTTCAGATTACTGACCAAGTAATAAACACAAGTTCAGCAACTGCTAATGAAACCACATAAACCACTCCTTCTCATTTTATTTTATTGATTTACCTTGATTTATGGAGGAAAAACAAAAACATTCAAGAAAATTGAATTAATTCAAACGAAAAACAAAGCAGTTTTGATAGTGTAGCTCCAAAAGGTTTCTTGATAGGGTATTGCTCATGACAGCTGAGGGCACAGTGTAATACTACTTTTTAACATTTACTAAATTTCTTGCTGATAAAACAGCCCATACAAAGGGCTGTACAGGGCTAGTGGGGTCACAGGAGATTTTCAGTGTACTGGGCTATAACAAAAAAAACTAATTATAAGGGCAATTCAGACACTCATTAACTCACCCAGAAAGGAATTGTAAGAAAGTCAGAATCTGCTATTGGAGTAACCACATCTGATTAACGTTCATAAATAATGGGATACACTGCAGCTTGACCCCATCTTCAAATTGAAAGTTTTCTGACTACAAACCTCAACCATATCTTATAAATCAATGAGTAATAAAATAAAGCAATGCATATTAAGAAATATAACAAACACAGCTTTATACATTCCGTTACCCAGATTTTAAGTTTTTTTTTTTCATTTAATACTAGATAAAAATGAAATGTAACTACCTTACTGCTACCATAATAGGGAAATATAGACTGCTTACTGAATTGCAGTGTGTAGAAATCTCTTCTTTGAGTTACTGAATTCAATTTTATTTCTGCAGGCAAGGAAAGAAGACCTTTAACCTTGCCCTGGGCATTATGAAGGAAGCTTGCTTTTCAGCCAAGATATAATAGCATTTCAGTAGCTCTCTCTGTATAATGGGGTCTCTACAGCTTTCTATGAATTGTTAAACTGAGACAGCAGACAGGAACAGTGTTGCCTCTTTGAAATGACAAGTTGGTGTCAAGCCGGTGTCTAACTGGCTAATGAGAATAACAAAATCCCTCTTTCTCTTCTTTGTACCACTGGAGCAAATTCAAAACAACAGCTGTCCGGTTTCAAGGTACTAAGAGGAGCCTTCATTTTTCCCCTCATGTAACCTCTATTTTTTGGCATTGGGCTTTTCCCCATCTTGGTTAGGGATGGCTTGTGCTAATTCATAATGTACGTGCCAAAGGCTAAATGTAGTTGTGAGGCTGTTATTCCAGATGGATACCTGCAAACATATATGTGGTACAATGTGTCTCGCAAAACTGAGGTTACTTCCAACCTCAGAGAGAGGAAAACAGAACGTGTAAGGCTAGGCAGTACATTTCCCAGAAAGTACTGGAAAACATGGCTTAGAAAACTAAAACGTTCAGGCCACACACTGGTAACATATAGCTCTTTTATTAGCAAGAAAATATCAGAACTCGATTGACTGAAACAAGGAAGAGGACTCACACAAGCATTTCAGGGATAACACAGGATCCCACCATGTGGACACTATCCTTAGTCCTGCCAGTAGCAAATTACAGAATATCTTGTGTAGGACATTCCTTCAAGCCTAGAAATGTATCTACTGTAGTTGTTCTTCTCTGGATTGATTCCAGGCTCCACAGAAGTATCTTGACCAATGTTTTACTCAATATTCTAAGTGTTCTTTTACAATTTTAACACAGCATCCTTTGATTTAAATTCTACATTTTTAACAGTATTCCTCCCAAGATTCCCCACATTGTCCAAAAGATGAAAATGGTGTGTCTATATATTTACGTAGGTCTCTCTCAAACTCTGCATTTCCCCTTTTCTATTTACAGTGTATGTTTCCGATACTTGCATAGAACACACTGAACTTTGCATGCTAAATGTTATCTGCGAGTTGTTTGCCCAATATCGAATTTAGTCCTAAATTTAGTAAATTTCTACATCAACAGTGTTTGATGATTCTCCTATTTTGGAATTACTAAAGAATTTGACTTGTTAACTTACTATAGCAGTCTGGTGATTTTTATTCTGTGCAGTCTCTAATAATAGGCTCCAGTACTGAAACGACCCCAGTACGCGTTAGGTTGCAATGACATGGCATGCATTAAACCACATCAGAGCTTGCTTGCACCGCAAGGTAGTAGATACAGTATATAAACCTTAAGGCAGTATCCTTGGATTTTCAGACATGGCTAAACTTTAGGTTGCACAATACCAGCATAACCAACTACTTTTCAAGAGCGAAGAGAGATATGATGCTAAGCACTTTGCATACCCCATAACTCTCTCAAAGCAAGGAAGCTTAATTCATTCATATGCCTATTGGAAAGTCCCAGGCAGGACACAAACCCAGGTTTTTTGGCCTACGCATGCACTACTGCTACATACAGTAAAAACATCTGGACTATTCAGCAGGGCTATAGACAAGCCTAGAACTGCTGTATTTTTCAAGTATTATGGTATTATAACACATTCTGTATATATGGAAGAAACAGCGGTCTGTTTTTGACTGCTAAATTGGACCTTATACATGCAATCGGAATTGAATGGCCATTTGGGACAGTTCTGCTTTATTAGAATTATTATTCACCTTAATATAATTCAGTTTGATTTTACACTTAGCACAATCTGAAAATATGTTCTTTGCAAGACATGCTTCTATATTACATAGGAGAAGTCAAGAATGTTTTTGTCAGTTAACATGGGAACTGTAACTGCAAAAATAAGGAAAATGTGGGTGTACATAACAGTTAGAGCCAGTATAAGTCACATGTATTTACACTGTCAATCAATGTGCTTCAGTTTTCAGGGGAAAGTCTTCTACAGTAAGAGCAGCAAACTCAACATGGACTGATGTTTGCCTCTGCTTTTGGACAAGACCTTGCAACATGAACAGGATTTTATTTTGCACACATAGTCATGCAAAGGAATGCATCAAGCATGTTGTATGAGACTCCAGGCCTTTAAGAGAGTTTTTGGACATACAGCAGATAAATACAGTTAACACAAGTTAAACGCTGTGCGTTACTTCACTGGCGAACAGCACTCTTTGAAACAAGCTCCTGTTACAGTAATGATGGCAGAGTGTGAAACAGAAATCAACATCCCAGGAGCATTGGCTCATTAGAGCACAGACTCAATATTGTATGTAGTGTGCTTGTCTCTGAGGCTTAGTGTTGTCTGTTCTGACAGAAAAGTTCCACTACTCTTAAAAACTCTTTTCTTTTTTTCCCTTATTAAAAGCAGTCTGAGCTAAGCCAGGCAGAGTGACTGCAGGAAAGCCTTACTCATTATCCCTGGCCTTACCTGGGGTAGATTCCACTGACCATGTCCTGCTGTAGAAGGTCTGTGGTGGCAGTGCTAGGGCCAGCAGCTTTAGAGATCAGAAGCACCACCAAGCCTCTCATCTGAAGGTTGTTCCTGCTGTCATAGACAAACCCCCTGTTGGAAAGAACAGACGTCTCTGAATACACTTAGAAAAGGCCCTACTGAGTTTGTTATGTGACAGACATTTTTATCTGCACCTCTGATAGCCTTTTAACTAGATGCAGAAGTCACCCATGAACAGCACACAGATGTCAAATCCCTGGTTGTGACTGCAGTGTGATACTGCTCACCCGGATTCATTCAGTCTTTGCGTTATTCCAGCGCTTCACACTTCGATATCCCCGAGTCTCATAAGCCCAACGACTATACACTCATCAGCAAATGCTCTAACATTATTGACATTTTTCTGACATTAACAAGTCAATCAACACAACTCAGCATTTCCACCAGTATAATGTGTTCAGATTAATTCCACTTTCTTCAGCGGTTCAACCCTTGAAACAACAACGATGACCACAGTGTTTGGGAAGGTGTTCACTGCAGACACCAGCATGCCAATTCCTGGGCTTTGAATGGTTAAGAAATACACTTTAAATACTAGGGTTTCACCAAAATCCCCTGGCAGAAGTTTCAGGTCATGTTCAACCCCAGGAGAAAAACAAATCTAAAATGAAGTGATAACCCTGATGTGCACATTTCATAGCAGTCTGGAAACAGATTTATAATCACATATGAGTGGTGAGTCCATATTCATCCTTTCAGAACAGCATAGCAGGTACGGCAATAAAAATCCTATATAGCAGTTTATGAATACAACACGTCCAAAGCAACAGCTTTTTAAATGACACTTTCTCATTACATCGCTTCAATGTCAGATCAATTTCTTACCAGAGAGCCTTGGCTCAAATAGTACATACTGCTCATTTTGGTCAATGTGCTAATAATATCAGAGGAATGGCACTCCCGTTAAGAAGAAGGGATCATTGCATGCCTTATCTATCTTTTAAAAGTCCTCCTTCAATTTCAGTAGAGACAGAAGTATTAGAAGACTTAGTTAATTCTCCAGCAAATGTAAAGAATGACCATTTCATGAGCATTTAAACGATTTAGAAAACAAATTGATGTGAACAGCAATTACACTTCATGCATTAGTAAAAAAAACTATAATTCACAGGATGTCAATAGTCGTATCTACTTGTACACATAGCTTTACAACAGAGCTTAACTTTTTTTTACCTAGTTTAACTTTGACCTATTACTACTATAACTATTACTATAGTGTTTACTCCAATTTTAGTGGGAAGAATGGTCATCCTCAATCTAAATAGATTTGTTCATATTGTCCTCAATGCTTATAATCACCATTGAACATTTACTGTATAAGGTGAAGGGGATAACCTTACTAAATTGTGTCTCCACATTCTCTGCAGTACACCCTGAAGACCATTTACCATCTGCTATATCTGCCATGTGGTCTAGTATATACTGTACATAGCATAAAGTACTCATAGTATACTATGTGGCATACAGACAGTATACCATGTACTTTGCAATGCGGGATAAAGGAAAAAAGGCAACATCTCTCTCCCTAATGATGAAACATCCACTCAAAAATACAAACACTGTTTTAGTATCCAGTATATTAAAGAGATACAGAAATCCGTCATCCATGCTTCCTGCTGCTATTTTCTTTTACCAAACAAATGTTAATTGAAGATGCAAAACAGAAGGAGTGGTCTATGTGATGCAAATGAGTAGCAGAAATATGGCTGCATACTCCAAGACCCTTCAAACGTCCACAGGTGACGATACAGCTCATACACCAGGACACTTCCACTGACTGTGCTTGACCTCTTCTTTTTTTTAAATGCTACATTGAGTTGTTTCTGCAAGATCAAAACAAAGAAGAACCGCAGTTTTAAATGAGACAGAGAATGAAAGTAAATATAAGCATGCTGGTATTCAATTCAAGCAATAAATCCCCAAGTACGTAACAGTTCTTCACAAAATGATGCCTAAGAGAAAATTCTTCATTTGCTCATAATTCATTCAGACTGACAGGTAATACTTGAATGTAAACCAATGCCTGAGCAGTTGTGATACAACTACACACTGCAGCATACTGTACTTAAAATTTCACATTTTGGCAAATGATTGTATGTAAATTAAATGCAGAAAGAACATCCTTAATGAAACAAAATGTTACTCTTGTTCTGTCTCCAGAGGTGATACCTTTAATTTAATTCTCTCTCCTGACTAAGGAATTACTTTTTCCTCGTACTGCACACAAGCAGAATTGCTTATAATTGCTTTATGGAAACTCACATTGGAGGGCAGTGCAATTTTATAGGAATTCCCATGTTGAAATCATCATTAATTCATTCTTTCAAGAAACATTTATGTTGTGATATCATCTGAGGTAGCTGGACCTAGGGCTTACTTTTTACATAGGGAAAAAATTGAAACAAGAAAACAACACACAGAAAGACCTTACAAAATGAAAGTATAAAGTTTTTTTTCCTGTATATTTTTAATTTCCATGTAAGAATGTCAGACTGGGGAAGTAATTTGTCACATCACAGAAGACAAGACAATGAATGTACAGATGTTCACATAGTATTAACCAACATTTTTCACAAATGAACAACTAACGTGCTTCAAGGACTTCAAATCCTTATTAAGTAAATTTCAAATTAAATCTTGAAAGATTTCAGAAGGTAAGAAAGGAGTGGTTAGGGAAGTAGTGTTAGGGCTCAGGAAGCTTTAAGCTGGAAGGTTACAGGTTCAAACTCCAGATGGGCACTGCTGCTGTACTTATGATCAAGGCACTTAATGCCAACTGTCCCGGTAAAATGCCCAGCTGTGGATATTGCTCTGGATAAACGCGGCTGCCATACTCATCACTTTTTACATTGAGCACAGGCCATTTTTCAAAGAAATGATTAATTTAAACGCAAATGTAAAATACATTAGCAAGAGAAAAACAGGTTTATCTAAACATAATATCTCTTGAACTGATCTGAAAAGTAAATATAAGAAAAGAGATAATATTGCAAAAGAAGGACACATTCTATAAAAAGAATGCAAGCGGATCATGTTTTTAATTACCTGTCTTTATCTTATCAAGGGTTTCCAGTTTTCCCCATTGGCAATATTTTATCAATTCTGAAGAAAGACTTCCTCACAATGTGCATGATTTACACATACATTTTTTTTTAAATAACTATTTTTCAACACTCGAACACTGAAGTATGCTCAGGATCTTCAGAGGGGCAAAATTCTAACAGGTAGTTGGCAACGTCAAAGCCTGAAAGTAATGGTTGCCATGGAAATAAACTCCAAATGCAACAGCGCAGGATTAAAACTTGGAAAATGTACCATGCACTACGTGAAACCGTAACCTGTGGTGGATGACAAACAGATCTTGCTGGGGGCTACAACCAGAGACAGGAAGAGCTAACTAAGCCCTCTGTGGCTTCCTTATCAAAGCCACACTCAGGACCCCTCAGGAAACCAAGGTGCTGTAACAGTCAGACGTAAAAACTGTGTCCCTTGTGACGGGACTTAGTCACACAGCTCCCTTAATAATGTTCTCGCCATCTCCAAACCACAGTCCAAAAAAACACAACATGAAATTGAGGATCTGGATACATTTTGGTTTAGATCATTACAAAATGAAACAGTCTACTTCATTTCTGCCATTTTCAAATAAATAAGATGCTAGTTATTATTTCTCCAAAGATCTAAAGGATTTTTAAAATTATTTTTTCTTAGGACTGAGAAGGAAGTTTTAAACATTACTTCTTACATCCACAGAAAAATATATTGTTTTTAGATTTTGTTGTACTGGACTAGAGCAGCACGGTGGCACAGTGAACAGCACTGCTGCCTTGAGTCACTGTGGCGCTGGGTTGAACTCCTCGCGTGCTATCTGTGTGGAGTTAGTATGGTCTCCCCTGTTTGCCCCTAGGGTCTAGAGTATGTTCTCCCCTAGGATCTCCTCTAGGGCCTTGTCCCAGTATGCATAGCTGAGGTCTTGAGTCCTTCATATTTACATTCCTGCTCAGGTTTGCAAGGGCTCAGGGTGTCCCATTTCTAATTTGTGTTTCACAAACATGCTCACAAGTGCACACAATGTGCCCTTTCTGAAGTCTGCATCGGAGCGGACTTCGCTGAAGGGAACTACCCCCAAATCCTTGTGGAATGACAATGTTTCATGTTCTCGCGTATCAAAGCAAGGGGATGCTGCCATTGAGAATACAAAATTCACACATTAGTCAAATTTAACTTTTTTACAGTTTTAAAATTCAGAACAAATTTTCATTAGTCTACTTTAAATTCATACTGTATCTATTCTTGGTAAGAAATGTTGATATAAAGCGATTATTAACCACTTCATTTTGAGCGATGAATATTTGTTTAACCTGCAATGTATTTTGTACACGGAAGGATGAAGTATTTAACAGTACAAAGCTTTGAGGTATGGCCAGATTTACCTTATTTAGTTTACTTTGAATGAACACGCTACGTTCCTCGTACTGTCATTTTTGTACTGGGACAGACGAGATGAAATGTATTTAATAGTACCAAGCTTTGAATAAGCAGAGAGTGGTATTGCCAAGTTTTCCTTAGTTTACTTTGCCCTTTTTGTGTTGTACCTGCTCAAAGTGAATCAACACGATGCGTCACTACATGTGTGCAGGGACAGACAAGATGACACTCAACGTCATCAAATTGTGAGTGGAGCATGAAAAGTTCCCTTGAAACATTTTTTGCAAATGTGCACTGCAAAAGAAGCAGTGGAAAACAGCAGCAACAACAGAAAGCATTTTGACCATGAGCCATGTAACCAATGTGCGAGGGCGTCCCATCACCCTTTTTGTAGGGTGCACCCTTGAATGCTTATGCACTTTTTAGGGAAACTGCAATGATATTTTTATATTTCGGTGTTAGAAAGAATCAGCACTGATATGTGCATTTCAAACCACAATAAAAGTAAAATGCACAAAGTTACTTCTAAAACATCCCAATTTCCAGGACAAAATAGATCAAATTTCCAGATATGCGCAGTAACATATCTTGGGATTCAGAAGCAGGCAACGAAACTTCCAGTG